TTTGGATATGTGCATACACTCATGACGCCAGCACCACATGCAAAGTAATAAACAGATCCATCACCTCCACAAGTTTCCTTTGTATCCTTTGGTTTTTGTTATTGCGATAAGAACACTGGACAGTGCTGTTCTTGGATGCATGCAGCTGCTGTTGGGCCTCTCTTGGAAAGTGTGCCGCCTGTCGCCTACATGCGGGAATCCTGCCAGTTGAAACAGTGAGGAAGGACCTGGCCCATGACACTGAGGTTAGCCAGGCGCAGTCACAGGACCGACACTGCATGACGCCATTCACCTGAGGGGTCAGAAGTCACGCTCACAGGTGCCAGGTTTAGAGTGGTGGATGTCAGAGGCTGGGGGTGAGGGAGGAGGAGCACGTTTCAGTTGCACACAGTGAGGAGCTTCCAGGGACCTGCTGTGCATTGCTGTGCCTGTAGTTAATGCTGGCGCGTACGGAAGTTTTGTTTGGAGGTTAGCTCTCATGTTAAGTATTCTTGATCCGGTTGAAATCTGAAGTCCCAGAGCCGTCACACACATTGCCTCCCCTGATCCCCACGGCAGCTCATACTCAGATGTCAGTGCTCCTGTCTCACTTGGTGCACACTGACGAGCAGAGCAGGCTCCACCAACGAGCGCAGCCGTGCAGACCTGGATTAGCGGCAGAACAGGGCCAAGGCCGCATCTGCTTCTCAGCATCACCTCCTCCTTGGTGGCAGCGATCAGGCTGCAACATCCACACCCCCAGCCTCTCCCCCAGTGAGGGCAGAGCCATGGCAGAGCTGGGCTTGGAACTATGAAGGTGGATGAATCTTTGTCCAGGGTAGAAGCCACAGCCTTGACCTCATAAGCACAGCACTTCAACCCACTGGGCTACTAGCTTCGTGGAGTGAAAAGAAAGATTATTGTGTTTTAAATGCAGGCATCTGATTACACGAATGTTGATGTTTAAGTGTAGACTAAATATAGCTTGAGTTTAATTTTCATTTCATAAATTCCATTGTGTTCTGTTGCCAGATAGGACCTAGAATTCTTAAGAGGTGAATTTTCAGAGTTGCGTGAGGAAGTAACATCAGCATCTTTCAGTACAGAAGCTGAGAATTAGCCTGGCTCAAAATACTCCCCCTGCTTTGAAAGCAGACCTCTGTCAGCCTTTGGGAGATAATGAAGTCTATGGTTGCCTATTAGCCAACTGCTGCTTTTTACTTACTAAAATTCCTTTATGATCTGTACTGAATACAAAGATATTAAAAATAAATTATATTCTTTTCTGTGTGCATCTTCCTTTGAAAACTTTTCAGAAGTAGATCTTTAGCTTCTTTTGTGAATATAAGCTCCAGGCCTTTATCCACTACCTACAGATGGAGATTTGACTGGCGGGTCATCCCTGGCTACAGAAGAAGTACTATGCGCAATTTCCAGAGCTGGGTAGGGTCGGGGGACACTGCCCAGAAAACTGGTTAACTGAGCAGAGCCAGCTCCGAGGACTCTGAGCAGGAGCCCATGCAGAGCCCAGGGGAAGCCAGGGGGTCACCTTGCCAGCAGTGTGGCCCCGCCATGCGCCTTGCCCTCCTGGCTGCTGTGGGCTCTCATCTTTAAAGGGCAGGTCCTTCACTTTGGGTGGTGAGTCCCTTGGGGTGGAGGTGGTTTTGCAGGTTTGGGAACACACGTTTCTGACTCTGATACTAGTGGAAGTTGGGTCGCAGAGCGTGGAGAGACTGCGGGCTCCTCAACTGTGTGTGTCTTCCGGGATCGACAGCTGGCCCAGGCCCTCACAGGCATCCCTTGGCTCCTCATTGTTCAGGCAGTCTTCCAGTGGGAAATTAGTTTCCCCGTGCAGTGCATCGCAGTAAGGGGGTCATGCAATCGCTTTTCTGTTTTTAGTGATCATGGAGCTGACTCAGGACTGGGTGAATTTGTAGAAGGAAAACCACCTGTCCTCTTTCCTTACCATAGCACTGCTTCCTAGAAATGAAGAGTAGAGAGCTTTTATCTTTCAGCCTGGAAACTGTACCCTCTTCTGGTTTGAAACAAGAGGCCTCATGGAGACTTGCCATCTATGCATCTCTGGAATAAAAGGACTTTTCACAGATTTTTGTCAGCTGTCATTTTGAAGGAAAAGCCACAGAGCCGTGGTTCCAGGAGATGCCTAAAATAGCCACAGTGTGATCACTGGGCTGGATACCTCCCCGTGAGGCTTGAAAACATGTCCCCTTTGGGGTTGAATCCCGTACCAAGCACCCCTGGTGTGGAGCAGGAGAGGTTTTCTGCACCAGGTTTCCCGACATAACCAGTACTGCTCACTTTTAAAGAGTCCATACAGTAGAAATCTCAACATGAAAACAGGTTGCGGGGAGAGAGTAATATCTGCAGTCTCTTTAGCCATAGTTGTTTCTTTGTCCGTTTGGAAGCGGTCAGTGTTTTGTTTTGTTTTTGCCTGCAAGCCTGCTACAATACAGGCTGTGAAGTGCGGGGTGGCACACCGATAGGCAGTGAGCACCAGGAGGCAGCAGAGATTTGTGGACCCCCTTTTGGGGAGCGCTGAAGTTATTCTGCAGCGGTAACCACGCGGCCTCTAGGGGTGGCAGGACACCAACGAAGACCCGGGCCCAGGCCTCCAGCTTTGCCGCTCTTTGCCCACCCTCTCTGTCCTGGGTTCAGGGCACCTTCGCCTCGGCCAGATGGCTCCATCCTGCAGGCCTCGCCAAAATGAAGATGTTTGCCAGCCAGCAAGCTCATTCCTTCCCGGCTCCCCACTCTTAAAGCCCTGGTCTCCCTGTATCGTGTCCCAGCCAGGTTCACCGTCCTCACGGCAGGAGCCCGATGCCAGCACACCCGGAAGGCCGGGATGCAGCTGCACGGCAGTTAGAGGCTCCCTCGGGAGATTGTGCATGCTTGGTGCCTACTTGCTAATTTGACTATCGAGACAATACTGCTTTGTACAAAAAGTATTGTCTTCGGTCTGCTTATTTATGAAAAGGATACATTCTCACATGCCTTCGCGTTCAGTTATTTCTGACGGGAAGGAGGGAGAGAGAGGGCTTTCATAACTAGCCTGTGGGTGTGATAGGAAGTGTTAATCTTGGTGCCAGAGTACAGACCTGTGTCTTGGTCCTTTCCTTTCCCAGCTATGTATCTTGAACAAATTAACTTAGCCTCAGTTTTCTTACCTGTAAAATGGAGTTATCTAAGCCAATTCTTCCAATTTATGATCCAAACCAGAATACATTTGAGAGTGAAGACCGTTAAGGAAAAACCACAGCTAGACAGCAGTTGAAGTAGTAAAAGCAAATTTCATGCAGAAATGATTTCATCTGGGGGAGAAGAAACCTCAGTATAAAACTGGGCTCAGCTCTGAATTCAGCATGGGGGCGTGGGATATAGCCACGGAGCAGGGTAGGGAACGCCATCGAATGGAGAGTTACTAAGAGGAGCTGTGGGGACACAGGGGATTCTGGTGGAGCAGACCTGCCTGAATTCTTGCTGGAAGCAAGCCAGGCTGCTTCGATACCAAGGGTGGGATAAGAACTTTGGTGAGGCACCCAGGGTGATCAGATGTACATGCGGTGCTCTCTGACCTGAGAGCAGGATTCTGCTGCAGCTGGGTGGTGAGGGCCTCTCGAGCAGCGGTCTGCAGGGCTCAGAGGAGCTGGGCCAAAGCCGTCAGGGAAAGAGATTGTCTAGGGGGACACATAAAGATAATTGCAGCCACAGATAGAAGCGGGAAGTTCTGCTGCACCATTAGTACTAGGGTGACCATAGATAGCTCCAATGCATGCACGTTTCAGAAGGCCAGAAAAGGCTGAAAGTTTTCACCAAAAATCACGAAAGCTGGAGGAGACAGATAGCATTATACAACATGTGCAAGTACTGAAACAGAACATGGTACCCTATTAATAGGTGTAACTTTTATGTTTTTATGTCCCAGTTAAAATATACTTTAAATAAAAATAATTACTGTTGTATACTGTTTTGACATTTCTGTATGGACTGATAAATTTTTATTAAAACTTTTTTGGCTTGCCTTCCTATGAATGGTTCCATTAAAAAATGACTTTTGCTAAAACTGTTTGGAATGCTGGGATGGCAAGTGTAAACCAGGTAGTGATTTAAAGAATGAAACAAAAAGAGCCACATGAAGTTTTTAGCGTTATGTCTAGATGCACAAGGGTATGCCAGGCATTTGGGTGAGGACTTGCTTTTCCTTCTTTAGACAAAGGAGCTAACCAGCAATAAATGAACTTTTAAAAAAAGCACTGCAAAGGGTATGCTGCTAGCTCTCCAGGTTCTGATGGCTCTGGCCATGAGCTATCAAGTCCAACTCCAGCAGGAAGATGTGGTCGAAGGTCGCGGTCCTGCCATGTGCCAGGGCAGCTGTGCTGGCAGTGGAGGACACGGCTGGGTGGCCACGCATTTGCACGCTAATTTGGCTGCCCTGGGAGCAGCGAACCCTTCACCTGCAAATTTGCTGCTCCTTCTGAGCAATTTTCCTGCAAGACTCTGGGACTGGTCTGGGCACCTCTCTTCTAGCCCCAGCTCCTGCTGATTAAGGCCCTGAATGTAGCACTCGTCCTTAAACGGTGGGTGTACCACACACTGAATAGTATGAGCTATACAGCACATGCGTGCTTCCAGATCAACATCCCCGTGTAGCCAGCAAGTTAGTTGCTATTACATGCCTGGGTTTCTGGGCTTGGGCACATCCCTTTAGAAACTCTAAATTCACGACTTCTCTTCCTACCTCTTGTAAGTGCTTTTTTGCTCTAGTAACGAGAGCTTTTTAGCCTGTGTTCATTCACCCTAAAGCCCCTCAGCATGGAGACTTGGGCTTTTGCAAACCCCTAATTTGATGGAGAATCCAAGGAAAGTCAGTCTGCAGCCTCCTGGAGGTAGTGCAGGGTATTTGTGCCTTGAATAGTGTCATGTATGGGAGAACCAAGCCTAGGAGCTGGGTGGGCTTCCAGATGCACCCTCAGCATGGCTCTGACAGCTTCTTCTCTCTCTAGGTATGTGTACATTCCTCTGGGTGGGTCCCAGCGTGGCCTGCTGGGCACTCTGCTCTCCACTGCGATGACGTTTGCATTTGTGAGCTACTGGCACGGCGGCTACAATTACCTCTGGTGCTGGGCAGCACTCAACTGGCTGGGAGTCACAGCGGAAAATGGGTTCCGGAGCCTCCTGAACACGGCCTGTGTACGGAATGGTTTGGTGAGCAGAATTCTTGCTTGTGGCTGGGACAGCTGAGCTAGGAGGCCTAGGTTTGGGAGGGACAGTGTTCATCAGATTAACCAGAGTATGGGCTACTCCGGCCACACTGGTTCAAAGTCCATGGGTCTAGGGGCAGCATGGTCAGAAGCTTTTCTGAGCCCTTATTAAATGGTAGTGAATGCATGTGTAACTTTAAAAGCCATACATGCTCTTCGATAAAAATTCAGATAAACAAAACTTTAACAGAAATGTTAATGGCCACTCTTCTAAATTTTGTTGTGTGTGTGTGTGTGTGTGTGTTATGGTTTATATCTAGCTGTCCCCTGGAGCCTCATGAGCCCACAGGCAGGGTTTTGGGAAACTGACTGAATTCTGGGTGGTAGAGCTGACTCGCTGTTAGGAGCGAGCCCGCTGAGAGGCCGTGCCTGGGGTGTCGCCTTGAAAGACTCCTTCCCCACGCCCCATCTCTCTGCTTCTTGGTCCATGGCGCAAGCAGCTTTCCGGAGCCTGGACCCTTCTGCCATGCTGCTGCTTATTTTAAGCCTGTGGAGCATGGGCTGAAACTTCTGACCTGTGAGTCAGAATAAATCTCTCCTGCTTTAAGTAGCAGGGTTGGGTGTTTTGTCCCAACCACAAGGACAGTGGCTGAGATAGCAAGTATCTGTCCAACACATGGGGCGTGTGCTGCTATTCTGCAGATGTGGCTGCATTGGGGCCACCTTTTCAAGTCGCCGGATCCATTTCTAACAACCGTTTTTAATGGCTACATGGAACTCCATTATGCAGATATGATGTACATTATTTGATTAGATTGCTAATATTAATGCTCATATTATTCCAGGGTTTTTTGTAACTGTCAATTGTGCTGAGATAAATACCATAACCAAGGTGAATCATCACAAGTAAAGTTGCCAGGCTAAATGTTCTTCTCATCTTTGAGATTCATTCTGCATCTAGTACATTAACTTTTACCTGTCCTGTAGACCAAGTGTATCAATTTGTATCATCGGTGTGTGAGAATACCCTTCCCAATACTGAGTGCTACTAACATTTTAATCTTTGATAGATACTGTAGATCCAGCATAAAAACAGCCAAGACTTTAACACATTTGTGACGGGGCTGTGATTCATGTCTCACTGCCGAGCTGCTCTGAACTACCAGTGGTTCATGTGTGGCCACGCCATGGGGTGGTCCAAGCCACCTGATGGTAGAGTCATACATGTACCAGCAGAGATTTGAGCTGGCAGGAACTGTTAAGACTCATTCCAGCTCTTTAGGAAAGTGATTGGGGAAATCAAGGACTTTGCTTTTATACATATTTTAAGTGATTTTAAACAATGAGTCCGCATTTTATCTTGTAAATGTGATATATGTATCTCAGAATCTTTCAGAAATCATTACTTCTGAATATGCGGCAGTATTCTATTAACCCTGAGAAAAGTAGTTGAGGAGAAGCATGCTAGTGTCAGTCTTCATGGAAGGAATAAAACACAAAATACTGCAAAAATGATTAACGTGGTAAAATTCTACCCAGTACAGACAAATGAAACAAATGCATTTTATTATAACCCTACCAAAACAGAATACATTTGCGTGTTTCTATAAAGATAGCCATAGCACAAATGAACAGTTATTCCAGTAAATACTGATACAAAGCAGATAGCAGAACAACACATTTGAAGTAACTTAAATGTGTTCATGCATGTTTAAAGATAAATGTTTTATTTAGTAGTGGTACCGAAATCAGCAGGCAAGAAGGGTTGGTGAATTCTAATTGAAAATAGTGTTCGATGACAGACCCAGCTGTGTAACACATAAGCAAACATCAAAGGGTGTACCTTAGGGATGGCAGTCTTCACCCTCAAGTCCGAGTCCTCCCCAAAGCCTGAAGTCGAATCACCACCCAGGAAGCTAGAGGGTTCTCTCCAGCCTAGAAGTCAACCCTATGTCTGTGTTCCTTTGTGGAGGGGCAAACCTTAACCTTGAACTTTATAATAAGCAGTGTTCTGTGGCCTTTGAGTCAGGGCTATGCTATTAACACGTACAGTTAAAAATCCAGCATCTTAAAGTGTAGCCCACCTGTGCAGTGTGGCCTGGGGCTAGTTAATTTTGGTTAAGAATACCCCATGACAGCAAGCACACTCCTTACATACTTGAGCATGCACCTGCCCCATCACAGGATGCTTGTGAACCCTCACATCTTTATCTCATTTTACCTTCTATCGGTAGCTACTTCAGAGACATAGCTGTTTATTCATTTTGGTGAGATACTGTGTTGCAAATATATCCCATCCCCATATTAAGGAAGAACATATTTTATAAAACTTATGTTTATCATCTATCTTTTACCCTAAAAGCTGAGTAGATAATTTGTGGTTTTTTAGATGATGTCCTCCTCAAGTACAGGGTCGGGGTCCTCTTGCTATTTATGTCTTCATTGTTTGCCTCAGTGCCGGAGTTAGCCTAAGCATTAAGTCAGTGCACAACTCATGCTTCCAAATTGGGTTGATGCTTTAGTTCTTCCTTCGCCGTCTACCCATAAAATCTTCCTCTACTACCTTGTTCATTACATATTTCAGCAAAGAATCTGGTTTTTCTGTTTGTTTGCTTTTTGTCTTTGTTTTTGTTTTCTTGCAAAAAAATAGGCCAGCATTCCAAATACATACAACTCTTCGAATTTTTGAATAACTTTTTTCCCCATCCACCTTACCTTTCTCTCTCTTTGCATGAATCCATTTCCTTTTCTTTTATCAAAATCCAAATCCTCAATCCCTTCCACCCGACCTTAGTCTCCCTACTTCATCTGACAGCATTTTCACAATGTGCCTTCACTCCCTGCACCCCTCATACCTATAAGTCTTCGGACGTCAGACATACTTTGTCCTTGTCACTTAGCACCTGGCACAACACCTTTTTGAATGGAGCAATGAGTGAGTTTTCTCACTTTACTGAGGGAGGTACCTGAAAACATGGGCTTATGCAGCAGCTCGGATAATGTGGGTTGAATGCCAGAAGAACTTACTAAGGCAGAGAATTGTTGAGCATTTTGTGGGGATGCTATTTTGTAGCAATGTAGGTACTAATAGGTTTAGTGACTGCAGAATGTCATTTTAATGCTTAATACATTAAAATATCTATAGAAAAGAAAGGCTGGGGAGGAAGTAGCCTTCTGGGTACCCTGCTGCTTTATGAGAGGGGGAATTATTGGCGGTGACTCACTGAGGCACAGAGCTGCAGGACGCCCACAAAACGCATTTCACAAAGCAGCAGACTCCGGGAGATGGAGGGGGTTACTGCTGCACTTACATGCTTTTCTCCACACGAGTACTCTGCAGGGAGCTGGAATTTGGGTTTGGGACTGAAATCATTTTAATAAGTGGGAACATTCTGAAGGACCCACAGAGGGATGCCCTCTTGCCCATTTGTGATTTGATCTCTCCTTTAGGAGAAGACACCTCCAGGCAACTTCTCAGTTATTCCCACACAAAGAATCTGTATCTAAACAGTTATCCACCCCACCTCTGATTTCCACTGAATTGGATAATTTAAATCTGTCCTCCTCTCCCAGCCCTTATTCCCTCTTTTTCTTGCCCCAAGAATATCCTACCAAGCTGGCTTATCTCCTCTCTGAAGCAGTAAAACTTCTGCTTATAATCTTCACTTAGGACACATGTTTCTAGTTGAAAGCACCAAGGATTATCTGATGGTTCTAGAAAAGATTTGATATTTTCATATTTCAGAAAGACCTCAGAGACCATGGCTTTACAACGTCCATTCAGTTCACTGGCTACATTAATCCATTTGATTTTGAAGAGAAGGGGAGAGAAATTCAGTTACTTTGATGGATCAGTCAGTTTTAAAGGATAGTCAATTGCAAAATGATCAACATGATCCAAACCAGAGTAACTTAATGCTGTGGAGTCCTTACTCATCAATTGGCAAGATGTATGTCAGTGGGTTTGAGTGGAAAACCTTTTCACCAGAGACCAGTGGTCATGGCTCAAACCAACACTCTGAGGGGACAGGAAGCAACCTTGTCTAAGAGTTATGCCATTTGGCAATACTTTATGGCCTTCTATTCCTCCACCACTTGAGTTCATTTGAGCAAGTAGAGATCATATGCTTATTGGCCATGAGCCACCCCAGGTCCAAATCCTTCCTAGATGGAACCCACTTGGATAGGGTTATTTCTTAATTTGTTCATTTAAGGAAAAATGAATTTTAGTGTCCTATATGGCCGACACTTTGTGGGGCACTGGAGAATTCAAACAAAATAAAAACTTCCTCCCTCCTAACCCCTTTTTTCTCTGTGTCCTCCTGCGCATCAGTATGGACAGTGTACTAGGCCCTGGGGTGCGTCTGTGAGGTCTGGCGTTGGGCAGTTTCCTCCATGGATGGCAGTATCTCACCTGGCCTCCTACTGGGGTGATCATCTCTGCGGTAGAGGCTTTGGATTAAAGTGGCAATAAGACCATAGAACGAGAGAGAGTCTCCCCATGAAGAGCCAGGTGATCTACGTGAAAAATGACCCTGTTTTCATAACATCACAAAATATTTTGGAGACATGGTAATTTCCAAATGTTTGAGGCCTTTGAAGGAGGAGAGGGAGAGGAGGCAGCTCCTAGGGGGACTGAATCTGGGGAACAGCAGTATTTAAAAGCCAGACGGAGGAGGAGGGGCCAGAAAATAGAGGACAGTCTACAGGTTATTTCACAGAAACCAAAGAGAGAGGGCATTTCCTGAGAGGAGAGGTCACAGGGGGTGATGCTGTTCAGAGGCCAAATAAGATGAGGCTACAGACTATTTATGCATCCTTATCAGATGGTTGGCAGAGAGAGGGAATAGAGCACTGAGTCATCATCTCTGTCCCCAGGGACTTCTGGTCTAGTTGGAAGGCAAGATGTGTGCAAGCCAGTTGAGGATATAGAAGCTGTCACATGCCACAGGACCAGAATGAGGCCATAGGCAGGTGGTATATGTGAGTGTGGCAGTCAGTGTG